CCACCCCCTCCCCCCGCCGCCCCCCGCCGCACCCGCTGCTCAGACGTCGTGGTGTCGCTCCGCTCGCAGAAGGACACATCCACATCGGTGATGAGGGGGTCATCGTTCTCCGACTCGCTCGGGGAGGAGTCGTCACTGCCGCCCTCCTGCTTGTGCCTGTGTCTGAAGCCGCGGTTGAGCCGGATGGCACTAGGGATGGCACGTTCCTCACACACCAACTCGCCGGTGGCACTGCACGACTCTGAACGAACGACAGCACACAGAGGATACGGCTGCCTGCCGCCTGCCTGTTGCAGTGTTCTTCATATGACTCACTTGCGTCAGCGACGAATTCGGGGTCGTTAGCGGCAGCGATTTCCTCTGCTCTGTTTCTGGGAAAGCAGAGCGGCATGATGCGGCAGTACAGGTCATGCTCCTCCTGCGACGCGGCCACCATCACCACGGCCTCGATCTGCGGGAGCAACGGCAGCCAGCAACGCACGGACCTCAACGCAACATGAGCACACCTGCCAAAAAAAAATCGTGATATGGCGTGACGACAAAAAGGCCTGTGTGGCTGTCAAGGTGGGTGAGTGTTTGGTTACTTGTCTTTGGGGTAGTTTCTTGTGGTGCTGTAGATGGCTGGGAATGCGATGGTCTTGAGGCCAGACTCAACCAGCAGCTTCAACGCCTCACGGTGGCTGAACACCCACCCGAACGATGCCGTCGTGTGCCGTCCTGGTGTGCTTGTGCCTGGCTGCGTGTCCCTCCCTCATTTGTACCCACCAGTGATGTAACGTGTTCTCGGCGGCATTGGCGTACTTGGCCGAGTATCTGCAGACGCACACACACCACACCACACCACACGCGAAGGCAATGATCACGAGCACATAAAAAGATGGTGTGTTTGGTGGTGTGTGTCGTCTCACTTTGGTCCGTTGGTGTGAATGAGGTATCTGGGTAGCATGTTGAAGCTCTTGGTGATCTGACACGCGCCGGTCTTGAGCACGTCTAAACTGCGGAGCTCCTCAAGCAAATCGTCAGAACCGATGGCCAGAATGCGACCTGAGTGAAGCAAGCAACCAACACACACACACACACACACAGACAGGTCCCATCACATTTGTTTATCCATCACGCCACATGACATGACATGAGTGCACTCACTGACCAGCCAGCCCTGACGCCTCTGCGGCAAGCACAGCACACATCACACCACACCACAAACACACCACACACACACGCCATTATGTTTGTTTGTTTGTTTGCTCGTTTGCTTCAGTGTTTGACTGTCTGCGCGATGAGTGCACTCCTTCATTGAGTACCTGAGCATGATTCATTGGTGAAGTTGACGATGGCGTCACACCGCAGCGCACAGATATCGCCCCGCCACAGGTACACGCGCCCGTTCAGCTCATCATCCCTCCTGTACACGGCCGTCACGTCGCTCAGAGGGCAATCAGACTCCACCGCCGAGGCCTCCGTCTGATCCCAGCTGTCGAGTGAGTCAAGCGATACATCAGCCGTCACCAGACGGGCGCCACCGCGCTGATCTTCTCCCTTGAGCCAAGCAGACAGAGGATCGCTCATCGTGCAAGTCCAATTGCAGTCAGGAATCAACAGAGCATGTGGATTGGTGTCGTTCACACTCGTTTGCAGTTCACCTCGTCACTCAAGAAAAATTCCGGGCAGCGGTTTCACAGCACCCTAGCTCACTGCGAGCTTCAAGTTGGCAACTTGGAAAGGACAGACGCGCCAGCCTCCATCCACGGCTCCACCTGCAGCAGCAGGAAGCTTTATATGACGCAGCGTGCCTACCTGGCTGAGTCAGCACCAACCGGATGGCACTGATCTTCGCCCTGTCCTTCCTATCGTCAGCCTCTGCGCTCTCGATAAGGCACAGCCGGCAGCCAGCGCCCGCGCTGTCCAGCCTGATGGAGGGCCAGGCCAGGCCACATCTCGTGCAGCCACCACCCATTCTCACCACCTTCGTGTCCGCCCCTCAGCGCATCCCCTGCTCCCTCTTCCACGAGTCAGCACGGCAGTCCCTCCGCAGGAGCCAACCTGCATCGAGGCATCGCTCCGCCGTGTCCACTGCCGTCATGGACTCGATGGGCGAGATGGCCAGGGACGTGGAACTCACCAGCGACGCTGTGGTGCCCAACCAGCATCTCACGCCAGCTGAGTCGGCGGCCAAGGCAGCGCAGATTTTTGCAGCTGACAAGAGGTACGTGGGTTGGGTCAGTCAGGGCAGAAAGCAGTGCAGAGAGAGATATTATGTTAGCCACTGACATATGTATGGTCTCTCTGTCGTTGGGACTCACGCAGGCCAGTGATCTTGTTCGATGGGATTTGTAATCTGTGCAATTCGGCCGTCAACTTTATGCTTGACGAGGACCAGGACGGCAAGTTTAGATTCGCGGCACTGCAGTCCGTTGCCGGCAAAGCGCTGCTCGAACGGTGAGTGAGCGCAGGAGGGAGGAGACAACCAATCCGATGGATGGCCATTTGTTTTTATGGTTGTCTGAATGTGTGTGTGTGTGTGCAGGTGTGGGAAGCAGCCCGATGACATATCTTCGATAGTGTTGGTGACCGAGGACTCATGCTACTTTAAATCAGAAGCAGTCATGCACATCGGAAAGTACGCGCCACACACACAGAGAGAGAGAGAAACGCTGGCATCGTGAAGCGAAGAGCGCATGGCATCACTGTGGGCCTTTCTTTTGCTCCCAGGGAGTTGACCGGTGCAGTGAAAGTGATGTCGCTACTTGGATTTGCCATGCCGGGATTTGTCAGGAACCCGTAAGCACTGACAGCCACTCGTGGATGTGCAAGTTCCGTTATGGGCTTCCTCTGTGTTCTCAGTGTGTACGACTTCGTGGCGAGGAATCGGTACGCATGGCTGGGCGAGACGGACTACTGCAGAGTGGGCGACAACACGTATGACGACAGGTTCGTCAAATGACCCACCAGCCGAGGGAGGGAGGGAGGGAGGGAGGGGGGGAAGGGGAGGAGTGCTACTGTTGGTGTTGTATCGACACGCCCCGTTTTTGACGTACCATGAGCATCTGTCTGTCTGTCTGTCTGTCTGTACAAAGCATGTGGGAGGGGGTGCAGGTAAGGCAGGGCATGGGGGGCTATGTTTGTTTGGACGGTGTCAGGTTTGTGTACAGCCCTCAACCCCCCCAGACGGAGAGAGGGAGGGTTTGGGGGTGAGTGACTAGTGCAGTGTGGGCCAGCCCAGCCATTCTGATAAATGGAGTGTTCCAAGCAATCGATGGATGGATGGATGCTACGGCAAGCCTTCTGTGTGGGTACCGTATCGCGTGTGTTTGTGCGTGGCTCTCCTTTACTGTCCTGCTTATGTTTGTTTCTTTGTGTGTCGTCACCCTGCCTGTCTACCTGCCTTGCCTTGTTCACAGCGGCTGACACGTGTCTTCCGCCTGTCTGTCTGTCTGTTCGAAGTGGGGTGTGTGTGTGTGTGTGTATCCATGGGTACAAGCAGTTTTGAAAGAGCGAGTCAGGCTCCAGGCCCCATGCTCATCCATCCCATGGCTTGTCTGTATGTGTGTGATCGATCTCCCTCTCTCCTCATGCCTTGCCTACACTAATGCCTCCCTCCCTCCATGCACTGCCTGCCTCTACGTGTGCCAAGACGTACGGTCTCTTTGGCTTGATTGCATGCTGTGCTCTGGCGAGTTTTTGTCTCCTCCCTCTTGGGACGTCACACTGCTTGCTGAGTGTACAAGATGACGCTGCCTCTGCCCCGGGCCCATCAGACTCCTAAATCTCTTCGTCTACGTCCATCCGCCGACCTCTCCGACGCAAAAACCAGCACATGCGAGCTCGTACACTGATCTGATGGTCTCGACGCCTCGGGGAAGGTGCTTGTTTGGTTGTGCCCTCCTGATCTGCGCAGGGAGCGGCTCTTCTCTCTGCCCATCTGTGAAGTCCCATAGTCTTTCTGACGCAGCACATAGGAGACCTGCTCCCCCATCTCCTCCGCCGCCGGCAGCCCCGTGCTCCTGATCAGCAGCGGCTCCCAGGCGGCCTATCGGGGTGCCATAGCCACCGCCCTCCCACCTCTGACGGCTGCTGAGCTGCGCCAGCTGCAATAATGCAGAAGGTGGGCCTCTTGCGTGTTTCCCCCATGGCATCTGGGGGGAAGGTGCCTGCTCGTCTGCATGGCTGGCGCTTGCTGTGGGTGTTCAGGCGAAGCAGATGTCTGCCCCTGAGCGAGAGGAGGACGTCACATTCCCGAGTAAGTGAGGGAGATCTCCACCCCCTCGCACATCGGGAAGCCAGAGAGCACACAGCCAAAGGGCCGTCTGAAGGGCCACGAGGGAGGCCTGCAGGCAGCTGCCGGGGCACCGGAATGCACCATTGTCCGTCACTTTCCATGGTTTGTGTATGTGTATGTTGATCCACCAGTTCCGCTTGGCCACAGTCGTCAGGGGCTGCCATGGCTGCCGAAGGAGGAGTGCTACCTCCACGACCGCTACACCCAGATGGTGGAGGGGGAGGAGCTCATGCCCGTGGCCGACAGAACCAGCGAGGGATACAAAATCGCTGTCCTCGCGAGGGAACTAGGGAGGTGAGAAATGACAAAAGAAGAGAGAGAGAGACATACATCCATCCATCCAGGGCCGGGTCATGGATCTCGTGTGGCGAATGGTGCAGGGCTGAGTCAGGGATATCGAAGCGCATATCAGTCCTCCGCACGTAACCAAGAAATGCTGTCTGTGCGAGCGTCGATGATGCAAAACCACTCCTTTCTCTCTTTCTGTTGGTACGCATAGTCGTCCGCCGAAGAACCCTTTTGGTCAGGATGAGGACGAGTCGACGGCGGCCGGCAGCCCCGAGGCCAGAGGGCGCAGGGGCAGCGGCATCAGCGGATACAGCCCCACATCGCCCGCTAGGTACGTCGGCACAGAATCGACGAAAGGGCACTTTCTAAGTCTCCTGCCTGGCAGACATGTCTCAGAGTACACGTGTGTATGCCATGTCCATCCTTGGTCCTTTTCAGAGTTGTGAGTCAGCAGTCATCGCAGCAGCCCATCACTGTGCTCCCCATGGGCCCGCCTCCGCCCTTCCCAGAGGTTCCTGAACGCATCCCATACGTTACCAACAACAGCAAATCCAAGCACAGGTCGGCCTCGGCCTCCCCTGCCACCAAGGGCTACTCGTACCGCTCGTTCAACCCCTACGCCGAGGAGCAGGCGCACAAGGCCAGCAAGCGCATCATCCGCATGCCCCTCAAGCGCAACGAGCCGCGCCCGCCCCAGCCCAAGCCAAAGCCCAAGACAGCTGGTGGTGTCTCCCGTGCCCCTCTGCCCCCTCGCAGCGGGCCGCCTCAGGTGGGCAATGACGAGAAGGAGCGCCGCAGTCTGGACAAGGCTGCACGGCTCTTCTGCCGTTTGGCGCGCAAGGTGGCGGTGGACATGGCCCCCGAGCCGTCCCGCTCGCCATCGCGGGAGTATGAGGAGATCAACATGGTGGAGACGGCACTGCGGCAGGTCAAGCAGGAGGAGGAGAGGCAGGCCAGACGAGAGAGGAAGAAGCTGCAGCAACAGCAGCAGCGGCAGACCAAGCAGCAGAAGGGCAAGGGAGGGGGAAAGGGGCTGGGAGGGGCGGGGGGCATGACCAAGGCCGAGGAGGATGCTTTAGCGGGCCTGATGATGCTGTCCCACCGGGCGCACCTCAAGTGTGAGATCGTGCTGCCCTACATGCCCGACGACTACGTCCGCTGCGACCCAGACAAGCTCGACGAGGACAAGCAGACGCACGACGACCAGGATGAGGCCGACTCCAACCTCGGCTGGCTCTTCAACCCACCGCAGCCCAAGAACCACAAGTCGTCACCCAAGAAGCCCCGCAAACCTAAACCCCCCAAGTCCCCCGCCATGTCTCTGCCCGCCGACCTGCCCCTCAGCGAGCTGCTGAGACGCAAGCGGAGCGACCCAGAGAGGCACAGCCGGGGGGAGGGGACGGGCCGGTCTCGCCTGACGTCGTACAACCCCACCAAGTTCGACCCCTTCCACTCTCTCCCGGATCCCGAGCTGGCATATCTGCATCCGACGGGGAGTGAGGTGCAGTCATCCTATTCGTGGGAGCAGCAGGCCAAGGACCTGGAGACGCGGCGGCGCGAGGAGGTCGAGCGCAAGAAGCAGCTCTACGGCTACTCCAAGGGGCGCCTCATGGACCTCCTCTACATCGAGCGCAAGAGCAACCCCAAGCTGCCCAAGCGCAAGGCCCCCGTCGAGTGGGAGGCCGCCCCCAACGGCGATCAACCCCCCGCGCCACCCTCTCCCATGCCGCAGCTGGACGCCATGCAGGAGTCGGATTTCAGCCCCATGAACGAAAACGGCAGTGGGGACTCGACCGCCAAGAAGCGATCGCGCGACGCTGGCTTCTTCCCCGCCAGCCGCCAGCAGAGCTCGGAGACGCCCGACGACGAGAGCAAGGAGAGCAAGCCGTCGGCCAGCATGGATGCGGATGGAGAGGAGCCGGCCAGCAGCAAGGCCATGGATAGGACACCCACCCCCGGGCTGCCACCCGTGGGACGCAAGCCGCGGTGGTACAGCCGTCAGGACTGCGACTGGCTCGCCATCGGGCGGAGCCGCAGGAACATCCAGCAACGGACTTTCAACGACTATGGCGAGAAGACTGACACGCACTTCACCCCACACATGGCATGGCGTGGACACATGCACATCTGCCTGCATGCGTGTGTGCGTGTGTGTGTGTGTGGCAGAGACGGGACGGGCGTTCCAGTTCATGGGCCGCCAGTCATCGGGGGCGGCTCGCGGCGGCGAGCCGGGCAAGGAAACCACCACGGAGGAGGAGTGGCCGGCCTTCAAGAAGTGCAAGTACTCCGACCCCAAGCGGGACCACATGAAGTCGGCCTATCCCCGCCTCGACCCTCTGGAGACGGCGTCGCGGGAGGTCGACCTGGTCTGGCTGCGCCGGATGGCCGAGGAGCGAGACATGGACAAGTGTCACAAACACAAGACCACCACCACCTCTGGCCAGAAATGACAGGGGGCGGGTGGCCGACTGCGTCTTCGTTTGCGGATAGACACACAACACGCGCCTAAGAGGGGCGTTTTGCTGGTGCTTGACATCTGGACAGAATTCGCCGATCGACATGGCTGTTTTGAGGTGTGTGCGAGTATGGGTGAGCCTACTGGACTCGTGTGATAACACAGTCTGGATGGATGGATGCATATTGAATCGCGTGCAACGACGAGCGCTGTCCCCTTTCCTTTCCATGTTAGTTGCCGTGCCGTGTATGTCGTATGTAGCATAATGAGGGTTGCTTATCGATTCAGCTCCTCTGTTACAGACCGCAGTGTCCTGGTCAAAATCAAACCCACGCAGTGCGCATGTCTTTATGAGCAAGTCGACTCAAGCAAGGGTGTGTTGAGGACAGACACCAACCACAGAGTGCCAGCATCACTGCACCTGCCCGTCTATCATTCCCCTTCCCTCTCGTATCATCACTTCCCTCCCATCAGGCAGAGACCAGAGCTCAGCAAATTAAAGCAACAGCCAGCACGACACACAATCAGAATGACATATATATAACCACACCCCCACACACCCAGACCCGCACCCAGTCGATCATCAAAAGCTCACTCGCCCTCTCAATCTCCATCTCCATCTCACACAGATAGAAAGTCCCACTAAACAATCTTCCCTGCCCCTCCCTCCCTCCCACGACACACAAGGACGCAAATGCGGCCAGAAGAGTGTCAGTACTTAGTGTGTGCAGTGCGAAGGACACTCACTGGTGGACAGCGGCCTTGCCTTGCTCTCTCCCCTCTTAGAGGCGGATCGATGCGCACACGGCATGTAAGGGTTTGTCGAAAATCTGAGTCAGTCGATAGGACGGCCGGTCGGCGAGTGGGTATCCAGGTGGATACTTGGCCGTGCCGAAAAACTGGTCTGCGAAACCGAGCAGGCCATAGGAGTAGTGGTTGTAGTTGTGGTGAGCTGCATGATAGAAGCGGAGGGAGGCCATGTGTGTGTGTGTGGGTGTATGGTGGTCAGCGTGGCTGACCTTCATGCATGGCGATGCTTTTGTCCAGGCGAAGCCAGTAGCCCAGGGGAGGGAAGAACGGGCAGCCACTGGAGGAAAGATGGACAAGCGACAGACAAACAGACATACATACATACATGCAGGATTGGGGGATTGCTCATTGTGTTGTCCCCAGTTATTACATCCATACCTCCAGAAGGGAAACTCACACCCACTGTGGTCGACACAGTTCATCTCGTGCACAAAACTGTCAGCCACACACACACGCAATGCACACAACACACAGCGATTCGTGTCTGTGTCCCTCCGATCATATGATGTGATGTGGCATCCATCCAATTCCTTGCACGCACTCACTTGATCATGAGCATGTATTCAAAGAGGGAAAGCCTGCAGACAGACAGACAGACAGGCACCCACCAACACACTCATCAGATTCCATGTCATTATGTGGTCGCATGTCATGTGTGTCCCTCCCTCCCTCTCCCCCTGTGTACCGTCCGAAGATGAGCTCAGTGCAGTAGATGTTGAAGCTGCCGATGGCGAAGGTGGCGACTAAGAGGTCAACGGTGCCGAGCCACGTGCCGGCACTGCCCCAGGGATGCCGAAACTGATGGTGGTAGCTGTGGTCGCTCCACTGATACAGTGCCTTGCACTTGTGCTGACTGATATGCACCAACCAGTAGGCCAGATCACCGAACACCAGACCGCACTGCACCTGCACTCATGAGAGATAGATACATGGAACGACAGCATGTACGTGTGTGTGTCTGAGCGGTGGGTCTTCATTCTTGCCTTGAGTGGTATCTGCCACAGAGGAGGGTTCTCGTCGAGCATAAGCCGCGGTATCCACATCACCGCAGCGATGCTCATCGGCACACACCACCGCAGCGAGAACAACATGTGATTGACCAGGTACCCACGATGCCCGTAGTCGTATGGGGCGCCCCACTGGTCCTTTCTTGCCTCTCCGTCAGCCAGCTGCTTGGATCTCTTGTGGGCCGCCAGTCGGATGGAATCAGGGAAGACATAGTCAGCAAGAAGGTCCACCAGCGTTGCTATCACGAAATACTGAGTCAGGGAGAGAGCCAGGGTCGTGGCGTAGATGGCGAGGAACCAGGGGACGATGTGCGTGTTGGGCATCCCATGCAGCCACCGGAGGATTGGCGAGTAGACGAGCGTGATGAAGTGAGCGAACGCCAGCTGGAAGCCAACCTCCATCGCGTAATACGTCAGCCGAAGTAGGATGTTGCTCATGCTCCTCTTGCTTTCGCTCTGTTGGTGGCTGGTGGGGCTGGGGCTGGAGTGTGTGGATGTGGTCGTAGAATCAGATGCCGGGGATGCGGATCTGTGGCGCTTCATGTCAAGCCCTCTCCCGACAGAGCACAAGACAACCGGGGGGGAAAGGAAAGGAAAGGAAAATCGACAGGACAAACGACGAGAGAAGCTCGAAGCGATGCGGTTTTCACGACCCCCCAAAAGCACCAGCTGGGGGAGTGCTCTAGGCTGGTTTTTCTCCGTGCGTGAATCGCATATGGCGGATGGCGTAACGGACTTCATGAAAATGCCCTCCTGGAAAGCGGAAACTTCGTGTGCTGATACTGAGCTACATGACGGCTCACCGAGATGTCTTTTCGGAAGGAGAAAAGCTCGTGCATGCATCGAAAGCTCGCCTTTAAGCTCGCAAGTAGGATGAGTGTTGCGGCGTGGTTTTGACATAGGCCAGATGAGCCAGACGGCCTGTGTGGTCGACCTCTCTCTTCCTCGTACAAGGTCCCACTCGCCTGCCCGATGGCAAATCCACATGGTGGCTGACCATCTGGCTGCGTCCGTCGCTGGTGTCGCTTGCATGAGATCTCTACGTGCATCAGGTG